TTTTCTTTGGATAAATTTACATGCACAAGTGCACTCTCACAAACGACTACAGGTGCTTGGTTCCAGGTACTCAGAGAATCACTTCCATACAGAAACCCCATATTCTTACCTTCAGGTAATACAGAATACATGTCAGATTAAATAATACTACTTATACTTCAGTGATAGTATCTAGGTGTTACTTTATTGTATGTCTTGTAGCATGTCTGTTGGTTGTGCTGTTCTTTTTACATCTCTTTGCAGGTGATGAAGCAGACTGAAGATGTTTTCTCATTATATCCCCTTTATCTCCTCTTTCTTTCATCTTTTCTCCTTTTTTTCAGTTTTTTCTTTCCTGTTCTACTTACATTGCAGTGTCCATATAATCTGTAAAACTCCCTGCATAATTATAATAAAGCAATTTATATGCATAAATCAAGTGGAAAACTATGCCCATAGCTGTACTGCTCCACTCGTGAAAGCAAAATCTGTTGGGCTCTTTTTGGCATTAAGTCAATTTTTCTTATTGCCACATTGCCAGACAGGACACTGTTAAAAAAACAAACAAAAAAAACGTGCATGTTTTTGAGTCTGTATTCTTTCCTATTAATCTGCTTTTCAGCTCAGGAGATTCATGGCTGGACTCTGGCAGTTACACTCTTAAATGCTGATCTCATTACCTTTATCTGTTCTCCTCCCTTTTACAAGCTTTGACCCACTTATATGTCCTGACCCACCCTGTTATAGTGATTCAACACTTGTTAGTTCTCGCCTTTATTTTCCTGTTCCAGAGTAAAGGGCAATAAAACAGTATTAAAGTCTAAAATCACAAATAAAAGAACAACATATGACCGAAACTCCCGTTCCAGATTCTTTTATTCCTGCCACAATTCATTGAGAAAAGAGTTGTTTATCTATAGGATAGTGTTACACAGTATACTACTTTAAAAATGGCAAGGAATATTCCAAAACAGGTTTTACCCGTCAGTTCGTGAAGTTTCTTAGTATTTTGGCATACTTTGACGGTAGTTAATGTTATTCTTTTCCAAGAAAAATCGTGGTGTTTCCCAACGGCCTAGTTAGCAAGGGGTCAAACTTACATAACCGACAACATCACACTCTAAATGGCTGACAACGTTTTAGGGCTAAAAGATTTCTCAACCACAATGTTTAATCTGCAGATTGAGACATGCTGGGAGGACGGGAGAGGGAGTATAAACCAGGGAAACTCTGCATGTACACAGACACACACACACATAGCTGGTTACTAGGTTCTATTGCAGAACCCTTTGACAGCAAAGCCTTAAAAAACTGCTGACTCAAAATCCTTTCCTTACGCCCTTGTAGATGAAGAAAAATGTTAATCCTCTAGAATTTGAAAGATTTGCTGAGATTTTTCCTCATGAAACATTTTATTACTGTGTTTAATCTAGAAGGACTTATAGATTAAAGTTTATGGTACAACTTTTTATTTGTTTCAAACTTTTATTTAGCCTATTCAGACCACTCTTTAATAAATTATCTTTAACGTTAGACTGTTTGCTTTGAAAAGGCTTGTCTGAGTGCATGTACAGGGCTTAAGATCAGGTGACACGGGTAAAGTCTATTTTGACAGAAGCAGCTTGGTGGTTGATTATTAACAGCCTCTCAGAGGGAGGTGATAGGTAGTCTGTGTTAAAAATTATCAGGTACAGAATGTAAGGTGGAAAAAAAAAGTTAAATTCAGTCAAGAATTAAAAATTCTCAGCAGTTCAACATGATCTATTTTACAAAAGAATGCACATTTTTTAGCGGTTGGTTAAATGTTCAGCTTTGTGGAGCTTTCAGACATCACTCTTTTGTTCCACGTTTAAAAAGTCTGGTTCCGTGAACCGGCTGGTAAGTTAATGTTTGTGAACAAACACATGCCAGTTTTTTCTTTTTTTCTTTTCTGGTCTTGCTGTTTACACTATGTGGTCATTGTCCGTCACCATGGCAACACATCCTGCTATTGCTTGAAAGGGGAACTGGGTTTAAAGACACAATGTGCAATTGTAGCTCAAGCTAAGGTTTACTTGGGGTCCAGTTTTAATCAGTTTCTTAGGAAAATCTGCTTTCCTCATGTATGTGTGTACTTTAAGAAGATGCAGTAAATCAATTTAGAATAAGACTGTCTCAGCAGTTTTCACAGCACAGCTGATAATGGGATCAAGTTTGATAAAATGTCTTTCTTGTTTTATTTACCTAATGATAATATTATAAGATAGAGAAAGAACAATGACAAAATGGAAAATTTGGTTTATTTATATAAAAATACTAATGAAATAAGATATTTAGGCTGCTTTGCTACTTCTTTTAAGGGAATCCTAATTCTTTCTTGGTTACATGTTAAAGATTCAAACAGTTATTATTTGAAAGAAAATATCATAACTGAGTCTTAAAAATCAAATACTAAGAATGGATTTCCTTGCCCTGTGATGGACAGACAACTTGTCCAGGGTGTACCCTGCCTTTCGCCCGTATACTGCTAGAGATTGGCACCGGCCCCGCCATGACCCTGATGGAATAACCGGGAGAAAATGGATGAATGAATGGATACATTTCATACCCTGAATGTCGAGAGGTTTGAAAACCTTCAAATGGTAATGTGTTTTCCAGCTGTGAAGTAAGAACGCAATAATACAATTGGCCATTTTCACAAGTAAATATATGTGGATCGAAACCTTTCCACTTTAGCTCTGAAAAGAAAAGCACTGCCTTAGTCTTTAAGAGCAATGCCTTTGCAAGCAGCAATGCCTCGGACAGACCGTCCCTTCGGATGAGCTGCACCAAAACTCAGTATCATCCTATTGGCGTGCTACTCCAGGCTGGGTGACAAATAAAGCAATTGTGATTTACATGTTTTCTACCAGGATTGCTTTGATTTAACTTATTCAGTGATAATGCCATCACCATCTTTTCTGTCAGGGATGGTGTGATCATGGTGATGTGCTATGCTAATTTGCATATAGCCAATTGTACTTGTTGCAAAAAGTTTTGGCTATGTTTTATAGTTTTGCTCCAACAATGACCACTTTCTTGAGACTTTTTCTGTAGCCCACATTCATGGTGATATATTTGTACCTGAACTGTGAGTCTCTACAGCTCTTCCTAAGCAACCACAGGGGTCTTCTCTGCTTCTCTGATTAAATCCCTCCTTAGACAGCCTTTTAGTTATGTAGTTTTACAAATTTGGATTAGTTTGAAGTCATGTCAGACTCTGACTAACTGACTAAAAAGTGCTCTGAGAGATGTTCCAAGCTAAGGGAAATTGTTTTCTAACTTTAATCAGCTTCCAGGTTCACATCTCTACCTTTTACTGATCTTCTATGTTCCTCTGTCTTTGTGATGTTTTACTGAAAATATTTTCAGGAATGATCTATAACAAACACTCTGAGGCCTTCAGAGAACTGCTGAAGGTTGATTTATAAACAAGAGATCTTTATTTACTGCCCATAGATTATTGAAGATCGGCACCAGCACCCCATGACCCTGATGAATAATTGGATGGACGGATGCATATTGACTAATTTTAAAGGCAGCTTGTTTCACAGGATTTGTAACTTCTCAGAATAACAAGCAACTTCACATGGAAGACAGTATTACCAATTTAAAAGTGAAACATTTCAAGGTTATGAGTACACTCTGAGTGTTCTGTGTTCTTACAACATAGAATGATGATTATGAATGTGAAAGTGATTGTAGGCCAGCTTAAATGGAGCACAGAATTGTTATTGAACTGTGAAAATGACTAAACAATTGTACGAGAACACCTTTAACATAAGGTTGCGCAACAGGATTTTAGTTTAGTATCATAAGCGCAAGTTCCTTGGCTTTCTAAAAAAAATCATCTTGCATTTTCTAAAGAAACATAATTCCAAATCCCTTCAACAGTCCACACTGTATCATGCAAAAATGGCTTAAAATCTGTCAACAATCAGACCCACTGAATGTCAAATATTCATGCAGTGCATACTTCACACGATGTACACACTGATTTAAACACTGCAACATCTATGGGAAACAAAACATCTATGACCATTTAAAACACGTTGCATCGTCATCTGTCCAGTCAAAGTGGCAGCTCCTAATATGTTCAGCTCAAAACTTTTGTTTCCTCGCTTCGGCTACCAAAACGCTGTTAGTGTGCTGTTGTGGTTGCACAACACAGTGCCTCACATGGAAAATAAAGTGGAAGTTGCAACAGGGTACTTTTGTGAACTTCTGCTTAACATCTGAATGTCTTGCACAATCTCGAGAACATTGAGCTCACGAGGCAGAACAGATCAATCAAGATTGGAAGCTGGAAATGACAGCAGCTGACTTGTTTCCTGGGAAAAACAGCATGTTGTGTAATCCAGTTACGTTCACTTTATTAAAACTGGGTTTTAGCACATTTTTAAGCATGAAAAAAGATGGGACTTGTGCTGCTGAGGGTTATACTGTGAGTCAGTATACTGTGGCTACTGTTTGATAATTTAGCTCTATATAAAGTTTGAATATTTCAGTCAAAATAGGAGGAAGAGTAATAGCCTCTGCTGTCAGCAACATGAGGGGAGGATGGTTAAATATACTGGTTTTAGTAATTTTACATAATTACTTAAAGCCTAGTTTATTCTTGAGAAAGCTGAGTGTGACTGTAAGAAATAAGTAAAAACTGTTTCTAAGATGTTTTTCTAAAATGTTAGAGAACAATATGATCTAGGGAAGCAGCCAGATAATTTCAACTGTTGTATAGAAAAACAAACTAGCTACATATTTTCCTTTAGGGAAGTTTTGCTTTTGTGTGTTCGTGGCTGACTCAATTTTTTTCCCCCTTTTGTCTGTGTCCCAATTTACAGAATTCCTTATTTCATGTAGAGCGTTTAGTAGCCATGTGCAAATTAGAGAACCTACTGATGTAAATCAATAAGAAGACAACAAAAAGTTTTGTTTATTTAGGAATTTATTGCTTGCTTTCAGGCAATTAAAAATATAATATTCTCTTTTTCTGTTTTTTTTTCTCCTCACATTGGCATTTCAGAGAGTTGGAAATATCTCTCCATAAATAGAAGTACAAAACACATAGTTTATTTTCTTTTAAACATGAATAAATACAATAAATACATTAGTTTAAGTTAAACAACAAGAGCCAACCAATAACCATATGGAATACTGCGGTGTTCCCTGAACCAGGCTGTCAAACAAACAAGGGGAGAAAAAAAACAAAACAAAAACAATAAATGGTGTGCAATTAACAAATGAGTAAATATGACAGAACATTTTACAGAATCAAACACCAGGAAAGCATGTCAGGATACAGATATTCAGTTCACAACTCAACAATCTATTAGCATACTTTGATCCTTCAGTATTCTGCAATATTTACTTGCACCCCAAGTCTTGATAAAAGAAAAATAAACTCAAACATCCTTACATGCATTCTTGTACAGTCACTCTTTTCATACACACTGAGCAGAATTACAAATGAAGCTTTGGTTGAATGCTACTGGGACATTTTCCCCATTTGAATTAGCTGTAAAGTGCATATAATAGACACATGTCAGGTCTTGCTGATTAAGGCTACTGAATCAAATATACTGAATCAAATATACTGCTTGTGGCACAAAGGATGGAAAAGTCTTTAAGGCACAGGCTTTGAGGATTATCACTAAAAAAAAGACATTTTAATCACCACTGATTTGTAATGAGCCAAAATATGTGCTGGTAAGGTGAAAACCTGCAGAGGAGGTAATTCTCTTGGAAGACCACATACAAAGATCTAACAGGCTAAGCTAAGATTATAAAAATAAAGTCTGATAACATTTGAGTTCTAAAATTATCTTAGTATGTGTAGTTTGTAAAAGATAAGTTCTAGAAGTGTTATTAAGTTGTCTTGTTCTGAACAGTTTTAAAAAGAGTCAGGAAATGGAAAAGCTACGCAAGTGTCATAGTCCTCTTTTCTTCGTCCCATCTGACATTTCTTTTTTTAGTCAGACAGGGACAAGCGCTCAAACACAGTGAGCCGCTTGGTGGACCCGTCGAAGGTTGGAGACTCGGTCCCGCTGGAACTGCTGCTGCTGTAGCTGTCCTCCAACGAGTCCTCAGAGGAGAAGCGCTGTAGTCCGGTGGGCCTGCTAAAACCCCCGGTACTGGCAAGACCAGGAAACAGCAGGCTGTTGTCCTGGTCCACCGTGCTGGAGAAGGATTTGGTTTTGTTACTGGTAAAATTATTTCCATGGCCACACATGCAGCGTGTGGGCTTAGGTTCAAGGATGAGAGGAATGTCTCCAGTACTGGTGCGGGTCTGGTGGCTGCCAAACTGGAATGCAGATGTCTCCCTTTGCATGGAGTCTCCATACACTGGGGAGAGGAGATCAGGGGGAGGAGGGGAAACTGAAGGTGCCCGAGTGAATCCTAGGTTGGGGTCATTTAAGAGCGAAGGGAATGACGGAGGAGAGGAACTGCGAGCAGGCCCCATGAAGCCAGCAAAGCTGACACTCTGGCGAAGCTGGTGGCGTGGGTTGTGGACGCCAGAAGGATTTTTCTGCTGCTCAAATTTAGCCGATGATAGGAGACCACCACTGATTTTCTCCTCATGGATGAAGTGACAGCGTGAGCCGTAAGGACAGTAGCCGAAGTTGTAGAAGGTTCTGCAGGGTTCGGTCTTATATTTAGGGTGGCGGTAAAGTCCTCTCAGTTCGGCCTCACCGTGGGCAAACTGACACTTGCTGCCATACTTGCATGTTCCACTCTCCTGGTATCCACGACACAACTCAGTCTTGTAACGGTTAGAGGAAAGCATTGGTGGTACCTGAGCTTGGAGGTTAGACGCGGGAGGAAACCCCGGTGGGGGGGCCACTGTAGTAGCAGAGCTCAGGGGAAAAGACTCCAGGCCTTTAAGGTGTCCGATTGAAGGAAGCAGGCAGCTGCTGGGCTCGGTCAGACTCATGGAGCGGTCAGGCCGGAAGGTGAGCTGTTTTGTGTTGGAAACTTGTGTCCCCTTCCAGATGGGTGACCAAATAGAACTGCCATTGTCATCATCGTTAACATGCTCAGAGCTCGAGCTGAGGCTCGAGGAGGCAGGATGGGAGGAGGGGCAGAAGAAGGAGGTCGATCGGCTCAGTCGGTTTTGCCCTGGGATTTTAAGCTGTGACTGTGGCAAGAGCTGGTCTTCATTCAAGGCCAAGTTCATAAGGTTCTGTAAAATAGTTCACTCAGTTACCAAAAAAGCATACAGACTGTCTGTAAAGTGATACATTTTGACTCATATTAGAGCTGACAGGAACAAAAAAACTTCTGTATGTATTTTTAGAAGTTCAGAAAACAGATCAACACAGAAAGAAAAAGAAAGAACAACTTATGATTTCACTTACTTTTGCGATGATATCGTCAAGCATATCGGACATGCTGTATCCTTTTGGCTGTACCAAGAAAACTGAGCTCTGATCCTTGGTTCAGTGTTAAATGAAATGCCTGCGTGTAGAGTTGGCTTGACTCTGCATTTCAAAGGCCTTTTTATGAAGGCTGATGAACTCCTCCCAGAACGGGTGGGGTTTCCACAAGTTGTTCCCGGATGATCCTCCTTCTATCAACCCCCTTCTCCTCCCCCTTTAGAAAAAAAAAAAAAAAAAGACGAAAGAAAACTGAGTACTTTTAGCCAGCTGTGTGAAATCTTTCAGTTTCATAGGTATGTGAAGGCAAAGTGCCTTATTTGCATAGTTCTAGTAGATACTCTGCCTCAAGGGCAAAACAAAACCAAATGTGTTTATGCTCTAACACATACAGTGTATAACCACAAACTTCCTGGAGGAAGATAAATACCCCCCACTTTGTCTTATATTTTAACAATCTGAAACACTTAAGCTCAAAGAGAATGACCAAAAGTCTGTTATGATCAAGTTATTCATTTCTAAGTATATCTAAACCTGTACACTCAATCATATGTTTACAGTATGTAACCTCGTATATTCCAGTGACTAATACTACACTTTTGGGAAGTGTGGTAAGTGATCACACAATGTATAGTTTTTTTTCACTCCCAAAGTGAGCAGATGATATTACAGTACACTTACGTTTACGAGAATATATCCTCTTGCTATATCATCTGGTTTCAGTGATGATTACATTAGAACTACAAATGAAGCTATTGACTGGTGCAAACCTGTGAACAAAACATGAGTTGAACATTCTTAAGATTTTCATATTTTAAACCACATAGGGCTGTTGTAATCCTTTTACTATTGTACTGCTTAAGTACAATAAATTGTTAAACATTCCACACACATTTCTTTTAACTTCTGACTTGAAATAGGCCTACTGTAGATCTATTTTCCCCCTAAGATTATTTTGTAGTTGTTTTTATGGAAATTGTCCCGCTTTGAAGTACGGGGCCTACAGTGGAAACGTTTCAGTCTTTGTCTTTAAATGTCACATATCAGATTATGTATTCACCACAAACATTATGTCTGCAGATGTTCTGAATTTTTTTTTTACATTAAAAATTATAATTTCCCCCAAACTGTTTTTTTCAGCTTCTCCTTTACATACCCAATAAAAACCAAATTACACATACCCATGACAGATTTATTTTGTTCTTTTATGAATATGGCTGTTTCATACAGGAAAGGCAACAAACACCTCTCAAAGCATAAGAACATATAAAAGGAGCATTAGTGTTAAAAAAGGCTTTAGCAATATTTTGATTGTCATTTTAAAAATATGCTTTTCAATAATTAATCAGAAAATCATAATTTTCATTACAGCAACAAACCTTTTTATATATCTTACAATTTATCTGTAGCTGAACTGAGCAAGTCCAAGACCGTAATGAGTTGTCCTAGTCAGCAACTGCTTCCATATTTTCTTTCAGCTTAAAAACTCTGGCGCTACCATTTCATATAATTAATATTTTCCCAAATCACTAGAAAGATGTCAGTAAATAAAAAAATCTAAATCTGCTGGTCTGTGGTTCAACACTGCCATTATTGCTTGGTGTTGCAATAAGCTGCTTTAGACGTTCTAAAGCAGTTGATGATAAATAAACCAATACATCGTGAATACAAATTTAATTAAAGTTAGTAATCAGGTAAAATATCATTATTGCTTTTTTTTCCTAATAAGATATGTGTCTGATAAGGTTTGCAGACAGTTTTGGCATGGGTTCTACTACAACACTAAGTCATTAAATATAGGTTAGTACTGGTACAGCTGAAATACTATGCAGCAGGAACAGAATTAGAAAAGATAATGTTTTGGGAAGCTGAATTTTTTTTTTATTTCATAAATGTAAATCAGATAATTTAAACAGTTGTGTTTTCTTTTCGCTCTACACTGCTGCTCCTCGTGCATGTGTCACCCACTCAAATGAGTCATCCAAAATCCTGGCAATGACGGCGCATATATTTTAATTAATGTTGTGTAAGTGTGGAAGTCACTGTGATATTGATGTCTGACAATCCCTCAGCGGACAAGTCAATCAAAACAATGAAATTACAAGCAAATTATACACAAATTACTCAAGTATTAAAATATTTTAAGTACTATGAATCAAAACAAAATTGCTTACAGTTTCATGTATTTAGATCTCTGACTGATGATTTTTTTGGGTTACAACCAAGAGAAATCAGCAAATTTATTCTTAAGTTGTAGGAATCGATTCACCACATTGACTTAATATTGTTTACTACTTCAGAACTTGAAAAAGAATATCTATAGATGTACAAAACTTTGGTTCAAATGCAGCCTCCTTTTCATTCTTTATCCATGCAGATTCTATATGTTAGGAACAACACTGCAGAACTCCACGCATCACATATCTACTTAGACAGTTCTATCATAACTCCACAGTGAAATAAAATTAAAATCAAAAACAAAATCCAGAGCTTAAAGACCCCCCCCCAAAACAACCCATTTATCATTAATATCTACTATTAGGATACAGTACAGATTCCCATTAGACTCAAGCATTGTTCAACAACGACAAACTATTTATGTAGCAGACTTTACGTCCAACTTAAGTGTAAAAATGGCAGCCATCAATTCACTTTAGATGAATCTGGACACTTAATTTCTGAGAAAAATCCTCTTTCACACCTTTAAATCCCCAATTATCAAGAAAGTTCAAAACAGGCAAAAATGCAGACCCAGCTGCCTGTAACATTTAATGCAAGCTATTCAGACCAGGTCAAAGCAATTACAAACATCAAAGCATTCAGAGTATTAATAGGAGCAGAAAAGCAGCAATATTTTGTTGTTGAACACACTGGTTTTAGAAAATACATTTGCTATAGGATTTAAAAGAATCACATAACACAAGTGCATCATGTAACTACTTCAGTGGTTAGCTACATAAGGACTAATAGATAATCAGTTTTTTAGTCAGTTTTC